TGCCTTTTTCTGTTGTGGTGGCTTTGTGTTTGGTGTGTTTGGTGACAGTTTGCATGGGCACGCCACAAAAACATGCAGCCCGGATCCCAAACTTGAACAGGAAGTGCCAGTTCTAAATATCAAGTCCCATATTGCACACCTCATGTCTGCCTTTCATCATCCATCAAAATAGCAAGCGGAGCCCAGCACTCCCACTTCAGCATAAGCAAAACATGTGGGAACTCGAGGCAGTTAGTAGGAAAACGTGATACAGCCTTGCTAATAAAAGCTCCTGCTTTCCTCACTATGGAAAACAGTTGCAAATGGGTTTCTGCAGCCTGGGACTCGACTGCTGACAGCACGGTGACAGAAACGCTGTGCTTGGCTCTTCCCAACCCTGCCTGCCATGGTGTCCCAGCAAACCACCCAGCTCCAGGAGCAGAGGGGAGCCCAGCAGCATCCTGGTGTACCCTGCCCATCCCGCTCAGCGCTTCCCAACGCAGGGCTGCCTGCACACTCAAAATAATTAAACCTTCAAACAGCTCCCCCACAGCACCAATTAAAGAGACAACCCCAGCTTTCAGAGAATTTATGACTCTCGGTGCTGTTGCCACAGGTATCCCAGTTTCTGCGTTGTTTAAAGAGAGTTTCAAAGGGGATCTGGGCTCGCCTCCCTCCAGGGAGAATCCATTCGCTTTGTTCACCAGACTATAACTTAAAATTTGTTACATGCACCGGCTTGTAAGCCTTTGAAAAACTCCCTGCTCCGCCAGCTTCAAATGGACTTGATGAACTTCCCCCGATCAAAGCAATTCTCTCACAGGGAGCCTCAGCTCACGAGCAAGGAAGAACCCAACAAATTTTGGGGGTGGGAATCACAGCATGGGCCAGGAGGGGACTCTCCCTCCCAAACACACCCAAGAGCCCAAGCAAAGGGTCCAACCCACTTTGGCACAAAGCACGAAGAAAAAGGCATTAATGCTGAATTCACTTATTTAAAAGGGGAGGAAAAGAAAAAAAAACAGATTAGCAGAGGTTTTTCTTGTTGAAAGCAGAGTAATTTGTCAGCAGGAGACCCCATGACTCCCACCCCATCAGGACCCAATCCTGGTACCGCACAACATTTGGGATGGGAAGGGAGATGGTTGCACACCCTCCACACTACCCACAGGTGGAAGTGCTGCTTGTGTGCTGCTCCAGGAGATGTTTTACCTCACACACAACCACATGCCTTGGGTTTATTTCCCTGCTCTGCAGAGCCCAAACCCTTTTGCTGGAGCAAAGGTGCAGCCGGCACGCACCAACCCTGCTGAAAACTCAGCAGCCACGAGGCCACAGCACAACTCTGCTGCCTCCGGCCACTCCCACTGCCTCGATGTCAATTAAAATGGTCATTTCCATGCAAAATTCAGCCCCAGTGGTTTCCTGCTCGAGGCAGGGCTCGATGAAGCACTGGGAGGGAGCTTGCTGCAGCTCAGATTAGTCATTTATGAACTATGATACGATGGGGGACACACTTTGAGATGTTTTGCTACTGCAAGTAACAAACACACTTTTGGGAGGGAAAGACAAACCTCCTTTGAGGAGCAGGACAAGAGGCACGGGCTGAACACCCTGGCTAAAATAAAACCCCAGCAGAAAACAGCCCATGCTGGAAAACACTGGTTGCAGCTCCCAGCCCCAGGAAGACCAACTTCCCGCGGTGACCTATATGTGCTATAAATGCTGCAGCCACGGGCTGGGTGACGTCAGCTCCATCCTTGTGGCAATTGTTGGGTCTCTTCTTGCCAAGAAAAGGCAAAGCGGAGGTGCTGAATTGTCCATGCGGCGGGGGAGCGAAACCAGTTCCTCCCCGGAGCATTTGAGGACAGAAATGAGGGAAACAGTGGCAGGGCTTAAAATAAAAGCAGGAGGTAAATAGGAAAGCAAAGGGATCTCGAAGCTGGAGTGTTTGCATGAACACTTTGAATTTTTCTGGCCTCAGGGAGAAAAAGGGGTTCCCTTGGTAAAGGGGCCATCAGCAGCTTGGCCAGGGCAGTTATTAGAAACATGGAATTGTTAAGGCTGGAAAAGATCTTTAGCATGTTCAAGTGCAACTGTCAGCCCAGCACCATGCTCACCACTAAAGCATGTCCTCAAGTGCCACATCAACACCTGTTCTGAACACTTCCAGGGATAGTGATTCCATCCCTGCTCTGGGCAGCCAATGGTTAACAACACTTCTGGTAAAGAAATTTTGAATTTGAAAAGGATTTGAATTTGGGACAATTTTATCACTGGGATTGCCTGTTTCAAATGCTTCTGTTCCTTTATTTACCAGCTGGGCTTTGGAAGCAAAAATCTCATTTTGGCCAGGACTGATCAGTCAGTGCTTTGCTCCCTTCCCTCCTTCCCTCCTCACTTCCCTGGGGAGGAAAGAGCCTGAAGATAACAGCTCCTCTGGAGGGGAAAAAGAATAAAAGCTGCACACTGTCCCAGCATTTCCACAAGAAGATGGGAAGAGGGAGATCATGAATTCCCATGTCCAACCCAATTACACCAACCCAGTGACTGGCTCCCGTCCTGGGGGAAGGATAAAACACCAATATTTCTTGGCATACGAGACAACATCAGTTTGTTATCTTGAGGTTACCACAAGCCCAAATAAAGAGATCCTGGCACTGTGGTGCACAGTACTGAGCTAAGACTCAGACAAATTAGTGTTTGCTTCTCCTTTGCAGGCAGAGGGGAAATGCTGCACTGCCTTCACTGCTGGTCCAGGCCCCTGACTGAGAAGTGCTTAGAACACATGTGGCACATTAAAGAAGAAGCCCAGGCCTTCCTGCATGGCAAGATTTAGGGTGATCACCTCCAGGTCCAGGTTATGTTGTGACTGTGAGGTGCTCTGCTCCCTCTGCAAGTCCAGATCCCCAAATCCAAGGACCATCTCCACCCTCTGACCACATCAAGGGTAATGATGACTCAAATTCAAATCAAATTTTGAGCTGGATGACTGCCTGTGTCTTGGGGAATTAAATACCTTGGGGGATGACCAAGGCCAGGTTGGAAGGGGCTTGGAGCAGCCTGGTCTAGTGGAAGGTGTCCCTGCCCACGGCAGGAGATGGAAAAAGATGAGCTTTAAGGTCCCTTCCAACCCAAAGCCTTCCATGATTCTGCAATTCTAACTAGTACTTGATTGCATCAGTGAATACAGCTAAAGCAACAAACCAGCAATCTGTGAGAACAACCTCTTGCCATTTTCTAGGGCCTTGTTTAGACACCTTGGATCCTTCTAACAGGCAGAGCACAGCCTCCTGCATGGCACAGCTCACCGATGTCTTACTGCAGTTATTCACCCACCAGCAAAAAGTCAAAGATGCAGGAGCAGGAAGAAGTCCCAAAGCTGACACTTAGATGAAATTTGTCCCCTGAACTCCAGGTAAGGCCAAGGATGGCTGACCAAGGGATAAAGCTGCTGCTGGAGCAAAGCTCTTGCCCTACACCCAGCCCTGAGCTGCATTCCCAAGGCAGGATGGATGTAGCAGGATGAGGGAGCCTCCGCTGTGTCCGAGGCTGGGACAGCAGGGAATGTGCAATGTCCCTCAGTGCAGTTGTGTAACATCAGTGCTCTGTTTTTATGAACTGCTCCCAGTCAGGCCCAGAGAGCAGCAGCCCAGAGGAAGGGTGGTGTCAACATTACCTTTCACTCACCCGAAAGAAAAGAAGGGGTGGGGGGAGAATCAAAGATTTGATGTCATTTGGGCTGGAGGGGGGTCTGGCTGTGCTGCAGAGCCCCGCTCCAACCTCTGCTCCTGGCCAGCACCACGGAGCTGGCAGCCAAGGCAGGCTCTGAGCAGGAAATGGGTTAATGGGAGCTCCTGCACTGCTCTACTCCCCCCAGCGTGTAGCACGTCTTTTGTGGATTATTTTAACAGCAGAAGGCACACAAGGAACACTCACTGAAGAGATCAGCTTCCATCTGGGCTAACCCGAGAGTTTTCTCTCCTCCAATTTCCTCCAGCACCCACTCAACAGCTTCCCTCCCTGCCAAAGTGTTTGCTCAAAACCATCTTGACATGCAGCTAACCAGCTCAGTCAGAGAGCATCACATTTCCCTGGTCCAGGAGGGCAGGAGCAGGGCAGGGCAAGGCAGGGCAGAGCTCCGACCCTGCTGCTGTAGGTTCCCCAGTGCCCCACTGGGGCAGCAAAGTTGCTCTCCAGAAATCCCAGCCCAGTCTCTGGGATGCTCACAGTGTCACAGCACAGCCAGGAGTTCCCTTGCACAGCTGGAGCCAGCCCAGGGCAGGGAAGGTCGAGTTTTAACCATCCACAAAGTATTCAGCAAGAAGGGCAGATAAGCTGAATTTCCCTCATGCCAGGGGCTGTGTGAGCCCTGCACAGAGCAGCTTCCCTGGGCATTAAAACCCTGGCCCAGCACTGTCCAGCCATCCTCCCCCTGAGCCTCAAACCAACCAGCACATTTTCAGCCTCCAATAGCAGCCACTTCTCCAGCCCACTCATCCCCACTGCCCTGCTCCCAAAGCCCTTGAATGTCAGCATCCCTGGTCCCCTCTTGGCACCCTGGATGGCTTTGCAAGATCCCCTTGGGAATACTGAGATCCCACTCAACAGCAGCGAGCTGCTGGAGGGGCTGCATGGAGCAGACCCCCAAAGTGTGCCAGGAATGAACCACCACCACCTATCTTCAGAGAGGAACAGCAAAAGTCTTCCAGGGCAGTGCAGACACATCTAAGCAGCTTAGAGACCAGCCCTGTCTGCTCCCAGGCTCCTGGAGCAGTGGGACAACAACCTCCAGCTTAGGCAGCAACGTCTTAATGGGAGACAGCTCAGCAAGAGCAGCTTTGCACACCCAGAGACACATGGAGCAACAAGGAAACCATCCAGAGAAACAGCAGCAGAGCACCACCCGAAAAATACATCACCAGAATACACAACCCCCTCCCCTAAGGCATCTCTGGAACCAAACACAAATTTATTGCAAGAAACATTATGGTATGAGGGGAAAAAAAAGATGACAGTACCTGATCCTCCAAACTGAGTGCTCGCAAGGGTCGTGGGTCTGTTTTTTCCATTAGCCACTGGCAAGGGAAACATCTAGAAAAACAAGGAGATGAGAGAGAAGGGAAGAGAAAAGAGATTTCAGTATGTTGGTTTTACTGTGCTGCTGCAAAGGGGTCATACTGGGGGAGGGGAGGGGGAAGGCAGCCCGTTATTGATGCAAAAACCTTTCCTCGTGTCCCTGCTCCATCACTCAGGAGGGGCAGGAGGGAGGCACAGCCCTGTTCTCACACACACCCCCACGTGTACAACCCCTGCTTCTGCAGGAGCAGCTGGAAACCAGCCAAGGAGAATCCCTGCTATGGTCCAAACCAACAGTTTCATCCCAAAGTTGCTCACCCTGGCTGCAGGTGAGCACTGGGGAAAGGCCAACTCCATTCATAAAAAGCCAGCAGGATAATGACAGCAAAGCTGTTTTATCCCTCACTGTCCCATCCCACAGGAGTCCTGGTCCCATCCCACACCTCCAGCCACGTGCAGTGCCTGGGCATGACAAGGGCTGCCTGTGGGTTTGGCTCACAGATCAGCCCCAGCCTCATGGTGCAGCTCCCACCCCACTGCTTTGGGGGCTCCAGCAGCACCAGGACCTGACACAGCCCTGGGGCCTGGGGAGAGGAAGCTGCTCCAAGGGCAAATACAGTTACTCATGATTTTAAAAAATTAATATATTTCACAGAATTGGTTGCTCTGGGGACTTGTTTGCTCTACCACTACAGCTTCATTATCACAACTGGGCCTCTCCTGCCAGGAGCTTCCTCAAAAACACACCTTGTCACCTAACCTGTATAAATATTTTTAATAAAAGTTGGGAGAGTTTCAGAGGCTGCTATTTAATAATTTACATGCACCTGCGTGCAGCAGAAAAGAAAACTAATTCTCCTGCACACAAATGGAGCTCCAGCCAATAAAACAACTGGTGGAAAAATGCTCAGTGAATTAACATTTTAATATCCTTTTTCTACTCAAGATACTTTCACCACCAAGTCATTTGAATTTTTATTATTTTTAGCTTTGTAATGTCTGAGTAACTCAAAAGTTTAATGCTTTGAAGATTAAACAATGTAATGGCACAAGAGCCTACAGAAAGGCAGCGTTTCATGCCCTGACATAGCTGATGTCTGGCTGTGGTCAGAAACATTCCTTTGTACAGAACCGTCTGCCCAGCTTTGTTTTCGCAAATGCTGGGGAGGAGAAAAAACCCAACAAAAAACAGTTAAATGTGGTAGAGATGCAAAGAGAGCAGTTAAGGAACCAACTGCCATTCATAAAGAGCACAAATTTGGGATCATATATATGCATGCAGGGTGTAGATGTTTTATACATGGATTTAAACGAAGGTGTAAACAGTGTTTAGTGTTCATCCAGCTGCCTGCACACACCTGCCCTCACCTGCCTGCACATGGCCCCCTGCCCCCCTCAGAAGTGCCCTGAGGCTGCTGCTCACCCCAGGGGCTCCCGAGGTGTTTGGGGTGGCCCAGCAGCCCCACCATCGGATGAGCTTTGTTTCCTCAGGAAGTTGGGCTAGAAAATAAAAACAAACCCCAAAGATTGCAGCTCACCTTCCTCTGCACTGCTGCAGGGCTTCCCTGCATCCCCTCCCCTTTGCAGGGCAGGAGGGGGGCTCTGCAAACATCTCCAATCATGCTGAAAATTGAACTTAGGTGGCTGATCCCACCCTGCCTGTGCTCACTCCCTCTTCTCAAGGTAGGGAAGAAGATTGAGATCAAGCTCCCTTTTTGCCAAGTGGCATGGGGCAGGTCTGCATGTGCGAGCAGGGGGGAAGAGATGCACCATGAACCGACCAGCAAAAAGCACACTCACACAAAAAAAACCCAAAAAAACCAAAGACAAACAACCCCCCCCCCCCCCAAAAAAAAAAGGCACTGCTGGCTCTTTTCATGAGCATTTCTGCTCAGCATTTGCTGAGGCTGAAAAACACAAGGTTTGAGCAGCAAACATGAATGGAGAAAAGGAACAGCCTTGTTCCATTGTGCACCCAGCACCTTCTGCTTCTGCAGAACAGGAGTGTCCCCCCAGGGCAGCAATGCCCAGCACCCCCAAAACACCCTCACACAGCCCAGGGAACCCCTCCCCTCCTCCAACTGCTTGGAGAGAGATTTTGAGGCTGATGCAACACCTTCCTGCTCTCCCTCCCCAGGGGATTTAGGAGTCATGGACCCCTTCCTGCAGCAGGGCAAGTAGAGATGCTAAAGGACAGAATCCTGGAATATCCTGAGCTGAAAGAGATCCAGCCATTGAGCGCAGCCCCTGCCCCTGCACAGCCACCCCAACAAGCCCACCCTGAGCACCCCTGGCAGCGCTGTCCGAACGCTCCTGCAGCTCTGGCAGCCTTGGGGCCGGGACCATTCCCTGGGCAGCCTGGGCAGTGCCTGCTCCCTCAGGGGGGAGGAACCTTTCCCTGAGCTCCATGCCAAGCCCTGACACAACCTCATGCTGTCAAACAAGGGTGATGGGGAGCAGAGAACCCCAGGTTACCCCTCCACACCTATCACATGCCAACCACAGGAGGCGTTTTGGGCTTTTTTCTTGCTCCCAGCCTCTTTTTCCACTGTGGTGTGGGCTGAAGCTGCCCCTAGGAGCCCGGCACAAGTCATACGTGAAGTGCCTTCGCTGGCGTGTGTTGCTCAGAGGCAAAGTTCATCCACCCACTGCAAATTTCCTTTCTGTTTTAAATGCTGCTTTAAAAATAAACTGGGGGGAGGGAGGAGATGAACCGGAGCTGGCACCTACCAGGGGACCCAGGCATTAAGGGACCCAGGCATGAGCTCACAAGAGTTGTAATTGGGTCATTACTTGGCCTTTGTTAGATTTGAATAATGTAGATTTAAACGGTTATGTAAAATCCCCTATCTTAAGTTGCTGTACTTGGTTTTTCAAGTCCTATCTCCAGCCTCCCTGAGAGCTGACAACAACTTCGTTCCCTCCTAGCTCAATTTCCACCCCTTCCAAAGAATTTATTCTCCCTTCATTTCTCCCTGGGTAAAACAGGCAAATCCAGAGCATGAGAAGATCCAAATGCCTGCACCCTCCCCTGAGGAGGTTATAGCCATGAGACCCCACACTTCATACAGCAAACTCCTAAGAAAGAAAGGGAATTTGCCAGAAATGAGGAACATCAAGCAGCATGTCATTTATTGTGCACATCTAGAAGTGCACTTCTTTTCAAATTAAATCAGTGCTCATTCTCTCTCCTCTCCCACCTGATGAACTCCAGGCTGAACCAACCTCAGGCCTGAACTCCAAACCCAAAATCTATTTTGCAGCATGGAAAGAATCCAGCTGTTAATTCGGGGAGAAGAGGGAATTTGACTCAAAATACATTGCCAGCAGGACATTTTATACATGTTCACTTAAGGCAGACCTTCCTGACTACAGTCCCAATGCCCACTGTGTGTGCAGTCAAACTTTAAACTCCACAGCTGCTTCACTCTGAACAACACTCCGAGTTTTACCATGGAAATGCAGGCGCTGGGCCTTGGCCGGAGCAGGGCACGGCTTCAGCATCCTCCAGCAGAGCAGCAGGAGCTGCTCCAGCCCTGCTTGCTGCCAACACTTTGGCTCCCACTCCCGGATCCGGGGCTGGAGCCGCGAGAGCCGCGGTGCAGCGGGAGCAGCCGCGGGCGCAGCGATGAGCGGCAGGTCCTGTGTGACTGCTCAAGCCCCTGCCCACCCTGCAGTGAGCCAGAAACCCCCTCTGCCAGGCAGCTCCCCGCAGCATATGGTTAATACTCTGCTAATAATCATGGCTGTTAACAGCACCTCGCTCCTGCCAGAGCCCCCGGCTGGCACTGGCACGTGGCCGCTCCCAACTCGGCTGGCGCTCGGTGGCACCAACACACCCAGGGCTGCTCTGCTCCCCTGTCCCCTGCCTGGGGTGTCCCTGTCCTCCAGAGCAGTGCAGCCCAGCCAGGACACCTGTGTGGCACCTTCCCACTGCACACCAGCGCTGGCACAGCTGAAACACTGCCTGGGATAACCAGTAACCACAAAAAGCCCTAGAATCCTGAGAAATACCCTGGAAGGGGCCTACAAAGATCATCCAGCCCAGCCCCTGTCCCTGCACAGCCACCCCAACAAGCCCACCCTGAACATCCCTGGCAGCGCTGTCCAAACGCTCCTGGAGCTCTGGCATCCTTGGGGCCAGGACCATTCCCTGGGGAGCCTGGGCAGTGCCCAGCACCCTCAGGGGCAAGAACCTTTCCTCATATGCAAGTCCTTGTGGCTGAGCATCTCCCGACAGCAGAGGCCAAGGGCAGCTCCCCCATACACAGCCTCTGCCCACCAGGCTGAGCTGCAAAGCCCAGCCTAATCAATAGGCTGAGCTGCCCACTTGGGTCTATAGGCAGGATGTGTTCTCGAAAGCTCCTCTCCAGTTCTGGCAGCCCATCTGGGCCTGCTGCCAGGGAGCAGTGGTGAAGGCAAGCTTACAAATTACCCGCACTTTGGGGTAATTAGAAAAGGCAATTTATCTGGGGGTAGAGGTAAGTGTATTGCCATGCACACCCCAAACCATCACTGGGCCTTTCTTTTGACTCGTGCTCACTTACAGATTCCTTTGATTTTTGCCCTTTTTGGCAAATTACAGTGGCACAAAGCTTTTGGTGAGTGCTTTAGAGTTCAATATCTACCAAACAGATTTCTTTATTAAAGAGGGGATGAGTCTCTTCTTTCAGGACTGCAAGCCTAGTTTGCAGCATCTCACAAAACCCTGTCATTTACTGACCCCAGGAACTCATGGCAGGCCATGCCACCCCCTTAGGGCCTTAAAATTCCCTCCCTGCACAGCAAAACATATTGCAGGGCTGGACAACAGACTGCTGGGGCTGAACACATTTTCTCTAGAAAAAAGGATCAAAATACTGATCTGAAGCAAATGCTTCCAGCTGCTCTGAGTATCTCTACTTTTCCCTCCCCTCTACTCTCCTGGAGAGGATTATTGAACCAATGCTCCACTCCTGTTTATTCAAAGAAAAATATAAATACACTTGAAAGAGCGAGCTTTGTGGTCAAAAATCCTATATCCCAAGGACACAGAGAGAGCAAACCATGGAGCACCTATTCAACAGACCCATCTACTGTCTAGGAAGCTTTTCCATTTCAACTCCTCATCCTTGAGGCGAGCTGTTAATATTCCCTTTATGCAAAGAGAGAAGGGTGTGCGGAGATGAGGGTTTGTGAAACAGAGCTGGCTGCAGTCCAGGCTGCGCCGGAGCCCATCGGCCAATGGATCCTGCAGGGAACGACTTCGAGTCATTTGCTGGCAAATGACATTCGCAGGCCCTGGTGCTGTGAGCAGCAACCCCCAGCACCTCCACACCAGCCTTGGAGAAGCACAGGATGAGTTCTGGTCCTTCCCAGAATTACACCAGTGGAAGAGCATTGAATGCAAACCCAAATTTAACCTTTTGGTGTGGATTCATCTCCAAGGACAGAAACATTTGTGGACGGAGGGACCAGGTCAAGACTTCTCCTGGGGATACAGTTCTAGGCATGCAAATGAGGATGGTTGGTTAAATTGGAAAATAAGGTCTTGGGGTTTTTTTAAAGCTCTAAATGGTGAATGGAATTTCTTTTTTTTTTCAAGGAGGATAAAAAGCAAAGCAGGAACTGCTGCAGCCCCCATCAGGGAGCAGATTCTGGGTTACTGACCCAAAGTGCAGTTGATGGAAAGCCCCAGGGCTCCTGCCAACCTGCAGGATCTCTGAGAGGGACAAATAACCACAGGAAGCCCTGAACAGATTCCTGGTTTTACAGGGATACCATCACTGCAGTCCCTGTACCCACTTTAAAACATTCTACCAGAAAAGTCCATCACCAGCAATTTAACAGAACCAGCCTCCCAGTAGAAGTATGAAACTGGGAGAATTGGGCCTCTCCTGGAGAATTGCTCTTGGGGGGCTGAGAGACACACCCCTGCTCCCTCCAGCACAGAGCCCTGTCAGGACAGGTACAACCCCCAGCTGTGGAAAAAGGTTTATTTCCCAGGGCTGAACCTCAGTGTGCGGATGCAGAAAAGCAGATGAGCCCCAGCACACCCACAGGTGCCACAGCCACTGGGACATCAGGTGACCCTAGCTCTGCCACTACTTTTTGTCCCTTCTCCTCCACGGGGCAGGAACATCAGCCCAGCAGGGCTGTGGGCTGGGTGACCCAGGCTGGGGTGACTCTCACGGCCATTCCTCCTCCTGGAGCTCTTGTTTCTATCTCTGCAGCACGTTTGCTTATCTCGACAGCAAGACACAGGCTTGCAGTGCCATGAGGGTGCAGCACACAACAGAGAAACCCAACAGACAGTTATTTGCCTTTGAACACCAGCTCTGCCCTCCACAAGTCACCTGCCAAGGAGAGGCAGCACTGCTGGCAGTGCCACAGCGGGATGTGCCAGGGACTAACCCCACTCTGCTGTGACTAAAGGGACTTCTCCTCCCTCCGAGCTGTGCACACCCTTCAGGGGGAACTCTTAGGTCCTGTTTCTTTGAAAATAAACAGCTCCTAAATGCAGCTCAAGGTTTCCAGGATACAGAAGAGCAGAGCATGGGGAGCACAAGTGTCCAACTCCTGCAAAAATAACGCGCTGGAGAGCTTGGACACATTTCAAACTGTGACAAAATAACCTGTGGGAGCAAAAGTTTAATAGTCTGGATCTAGGGAGAGGAAAAAAGCTTGATTAATCAGCTACTGAAGTTACATCTCTGCATGGCTGCAGAAACAGTCACCCAGTGAGCATTTAAACAGAGAACACACAACTCTGCTAATTCCCCCAAAATTTCCCATCCAGAAAAGAAACCTCTCTGCCTTCCCTGCGAGGGAACAACACACATTTGAGGGGAAGAGGGAGAGAGGAGGGGCAGAGGCTTTGCTTTAACTTGAAAATAAACAAGTTGCAGCACATGTGCACGCACACAAACACGGCACATCTGAAACCCATCATGTCCAATTTACAGGCTCACATTTCCTCCCCTGTGCAGCTCCCAGCCCCGGGGCTGCGCAGCCCCCCGGCCGCGCTCGCTCACCATACTGAAGTCCAGCAGGTCACTGAGCTCTTTGTCTGTCCCAACTGCAGCCATTCTCTGCTGCTGCTGATTCATATTCCCACAGACTCAACAGTGGCAGTCCTGGAGAAAGCGAGGGGGAGGGGAGAGAGATATTTTAATGACTACAGCAAACTACCCACCCCATTGATGAATATTTTAAAAAGACAGAGTGGAGGGGCAAGAAAAGAAAAGCCCTGAGCGTGTCGGCAGCGTCCAACTCCGGGGCCAGAGCACAGTCGGAGTCCTCACACAGCACCCAGCGGCAGGAACAAGCGTTCTATTGACCAGACACACTTGTATGTTAGTTTTTTGCTGCCAATTCCACTAGTTCAGGCCAATTCTGTTCCTGGCGTGTGGCGAATGAAGGGGGAAAAAGAAGAAAAAAAAAAAAGGAAAAAAAAAGAGTCAACTCATTTATCAAAGGGTTCAGGCAAGTTATCACTCAGGCGCTTGTCTGGCTCAGCTCGCCCCCTCGCCTTCCCCCACACTTGCTCCCCGCAGGAGGCTCTCTTGTCCTTGCCGAGTTTTGTTTTAAAAAAAAAAAAAAAGAAAAAAAAAAAAAAAGAAGAAAAAAGTCTGATGTTACAGCTCTTTCCTTCGGGTCGCCGAGCACCTGCAGCTGCTTTTTCAGGGGCTGTGTTTGGGGATGCCCAGCCAGGCCGTGCTCAGTGAGAACTGAACCTCTCCACTCCCAAAAGGGGCTGGAAACAAAAAAATTTTGTTTTCGGAGTGTTTTTGCAAAAATAAAGCCCTCCAGGCAACCTTGCAAGATAGGTAAATATTATTCTTCCTAATTTTACAGATTATTTTTTTTCAAAAGGGAGATTGATCTTTTTGGCCAGCTTGCTATGATAGAAAAATATTTCTTTGGGAGGGAGGAAAAGAGGCCTGGGATGAGATAAAAGATTTCTTTTTTTTTTTTTTGGCCTTTTTTTTTTTTAGGAACTCATTCATGGTTACAAAGGGCAGCTGGCCAATAAATTTAACTCATTAATTGTAAGGTTAAAAAAAAATAAGTAAAAAAAACCCCCAAAAACAACAAAACTCCACACGATCCAAAGTGTTTGTAGGCTCAGCCACTACATTTCAATGAAGTTTCATTAAAAAAGGCTGAAATCAGACCAGCGTGTAAAAAGCCTTCACCGCTATAAAAAACAGCCCGGGAATTTTCTTTCTTTTTTTTTCTTTTTTTTTTTTCGTATTTTCATTTTCTTTGAAAAGCCTTTTTCAAAGTGTCATCAGTGCATCTGGTCAGTGTTTATAAAGCCACTTTCCCAACCTTCTGCCCCGGTGCCTCAAGCGGGGCTGGGGACACGAGACCCCGGAGAAGCCGTGGAAGAAGGGAGGGAAGAGGGTACATTTCTTCCCAGCCCCCCAAACCCTGCACCCCCGAGGCACCCTGGGACAACGTGAACAAAACCCTTGGCCGCCCCAAAGCCAGCCTGGGAGGGTTATTTTTATTTATTCCACGCACACTTTCTGACCCCAGAGCAGCCCGCGGGGCCGGGGCGCCGGGCCAGGACCCCCCCCAGATGTCTCCGCGCCCCCGGGGTCCCTCCCCAGCCCGGACAAAGGCTCGGCTGCCCCGGGACGGACGCGGGCCGGGGGTGAAAGTTGTTCGCTGCCCTCCACCCGCGACCCCCGTGCCGTAGAGAGGGGGGGTTCCCGGCTGGCAGCCCCCGCCCAGACCGGGGAGCGGTTACAAAGGGCAGCTGGCCAATAAATTTAACTCATTAATTGTAAGGTTAAAAAAAAATAAGTAAAAAAAACCCCCAAAAACAACAAAACTCCACACGATCCAAAGTGTTTGTAGGCTCAGCCACTACATTTCAATGAAGTTTCATTAAAAAAGGCTGAAATCAGACCAGCGTGTAAAAAGCCTTCACCGCTATAAAAAACAGCCCGGGAATTTTCTTTCTTTTTTTTTCTTTTTTTTTTTTCGTATTTTCATTTTCTTTGAAAAGCCTTTTTCAAAGTGTCATCAGTGCATCTGGTCAGTGTTTATAAAGCCACTTTCCCAACCTTCTGCCCCGGTGCCTCAAGCGGGGCTGGGGACACGAGACCCCGGAGAAGCCGTGGAAGAAGGGAGGGAAGAGGGTACATTTCTTCCCAGCCCCCCAAACCCTGCACCCCCGAGGCACCCTGGGACAACGTGAACAAAACCCTTGGCCGCCCCAAAGCCAGCCTGGGAGGGTTATTTTTATTTATTCCACGCACACTTTCTGACCCCAGAGCAGCCCGCGGGGCCGGGGCGCCGGGCCAGGACCCCCCCCAGATGTCTCCGCGCCCCCGGGGTCCCTCCCCAGCCCGGACAAAGGCTCGGCTGCCCCGGGACGGACGCGGGCCGGGGGTGAAAGTTGTTCGCTGCCCTCCACCCGCGACCCCCGTGCCGTAGAGAGGGGGGGTTCCCGGCTGGCAGCCCCCGCCCAGACCGGGGAGCGCAGGAGGGCGAAGCGGCCCCCACGGGCCTCCTCCCTGCCGGGGGGAGGGAAGCCGAAGCTGCCGCCCCCGCGCTGGGTCCCGCGGCTCCTGCAGCCCCCGAGCCGGGAAGGGGCTCCGGGACCCCCGGGGGGGCCGCGGCGGGCCGGCGAGCTGTGCTCGGCTGAAGTTCGCGGCAGGACCGAGCACCGGAACCCCCTCCCCGGCGGGGACCGCGCACCCCCTCCCCGTAGCCCGCACGCCCCCCGAGCCCGCCCCGCC